AACAAGCTTGCTCCCTCCTCCTCCCTGTGGCTTCCTCTTGGTCGACAGGTGGACACAGATACGAACTGGAAGTGTATTGCTAGATGTGAGTAATATCCTTATCTCTGCGTCTGTGCACGCCCACATATTCAACTCATTTAAAAGGAAACAGGTTTATTTATTCGATCATTATTTAATGACGATGCTAACAAGGCCAAGTGTTTCTTTCTGATTTCCATTCACCACCTGCCTTCCAACCTGCTTTTAGCGCAGCCCGCTCTGCAAAAATGCAATCTTCTTTATTAATCTCTGGCAAAAGGCATTGGCTGGCATTCTGTATTGCAGATAAGGAATTGAAGGCTCCAGTTACAGATCTGTAAGTCATCTGTATTCGGTAAAGACTGCATAATTTAACTGATCCACTGATCACAAATATTGGCAACTGTCCTAAATCTTACTGTAAGTTCTGGCTAGAGTAAACACATTGAATTCATTGGGTTTCTAAATGCTTGGGACCAGAAGTGTTCCGTATTTTGGATGTTTTCCTCAGAATTTGGGAAATTTGCTTATTCATAATTGGGGGATATTCTGGAGTTTGCTCCAAACTCCATATCCAGCAATCTGGATAGCTGAACTGGGTCCATTTTGGAACCATCCATTTGCTATCAGATACAGGCTCCCCCCCCCCCCCAAGAAACTACTTTAATGTGGAACTTTAGCTCCTATTATTATTATTATTATTATTATTATTATTATTATTATTATTAGAAACACAACAAGATGAGTCCACAGCAGACACTCTCCTGGTTGTTGAATTGGATAACACTTCGGACCCTTCCCAAGTGCCTAGGACTGTGTGATATATCGGTGAATGATGCGTGCAGATCCCAGTGAGGTGGCCTTCTGCAGCTGGCAGGTGGTAATTTTGTCAGCGCCGATTTTGTTTAAGTGCAGGCCAAGGTCTTTAGTCACTGCACCCAGTGTGCCGATCACCACTGGGACCACCTTGACTGGCTTGTGCCACTCTTTGCAGTTCGATCTTTAAATCCTCGTATCATGTCAGCTTTTCCTGTTGTTTCTCTGCAATCCTGCTGTCACCTGGGATTGCGACATCGACAATCCATACTTTGTTTTTTAACACGATTGTGTCATCAGGAGTATTATGCTCCAAAACTCTGTCTGTCTGAATCCAGAAATCCCAGAGGAGTTGATATGTTCATTCTCTAACTCTTTCCAGCTTGTGATCCCACCAGTTCTTTGTCGCAGGCAGATGGTCCTTGTGGCACAAGTTCCAATGAGTCATCTGAGCAACAGTGTTGTGCCTCTGCTTGTAGTCTGTCTGCGCAATCTTCTTGCAGCAGCTTAGGATGTGATCGATTGTTTCGTCTGCTTCCTTGCAGAGTCTACATTTGGGATCTGGTTCCGACTTTTCAATTCTCGCTTTGATGGCCTTGGTTCGAATGGCTTGTTCTTGGGCTGCCAGACTCAGGCCCTCCTTTGTCTCCCTTTCCAGAGTTCCATTTGTGAGCCACAGCCATGTTTTTGCTTTGTCAATTTGGCTCTCAACTTTCCCCAGGAACTGTCCATGGAGAGCCTTCTTTCGCCAGTTTTCTTTTCTATTCTGGATTGTGTTTTTATGGTTCTTATGGCTTTTATGGTATTATGATGATGATGATGATGCTTATTCATACCCCACTTTATATAGATCAGTTATTGTCAGAAAAAGCAAGCATCATGTATTTTTAGGTTGTAAAAAAAAAGGTAAAGGTTTCCCCCTGACATTAAGTCTAGTCATGTCCAACTCAGGGGGTTGGTGCTCATCTCCATTTCTAAGCTGAAGAGCCAGCGTTGTCCATAGACACCACCAAGGTCATGTGGCCAGCATGTGGTTGAGCATTTTACACATTACAATGGCTCCTTGTCGGAGATGTGTGTTGCCTGACGCTGATATGCCATAAAATGTGTGGATGTATCCGCATGGCTTTGGTACAACTGGAGGAAAGGTTCAGAGTGTCTCCTAGCTCAATTTATTTATTTAATTAATTAATTTACTATATTTGTATACCGCCCTTCTCAGCCCGCAGACGACTCAAGGTGGTTTACAGAGGCAACAATTCCATGCCCAACAACACCATAAAAACATTTAGAACATTTAAAAACATTAACATATAATACAGTATAAAACCATAACAAGATCAATAAGACACAAATCATTTGTGCCTCCCAGTTAAAACGTTGTCCAATCTCATCATCCAGTTGTTCCATATTCCTATGTCTGTTACACTGCCTTTTCAAACACTTGCTCAAAAAGCCAAGTCTTGACTTTTTCCCGGAATGTTAAAATAGAGGGCGCCAATCTGATCTCCCTAGGGAGGAAGTTCCATAGCCGAGGGGCCACCACTGAGAAGGTCTTTTTTCTTGTCTCTGCCAAACGTATTTGTGACGCAGGCGGGAACGAGCAGGGCCTCCCCAGACGATCTTAACGTCCTAGATCAGTGTTTCTCAACCTGGAGGTCGGGACCCCTGGAGGGGGGGGTCATGAGGGGGTGCCAGAGGAGTCGCCAAAGGCCATCAGAAAACACAGTCTTTTCTGTTGGTCATGGGGGTTCTGTGTGGGAAGTTTGGCCCAATTCCATCGTTGGTGGAGTCCAGAATGCTCTTTGATTGTAGGTTAACTATAAATCTCAGGAACTACAACTCCCAAATATCAAGGTCTATTTTCCCCAAACTCCACCAGTGTTCACATTTGTACATATTGAGTATTTCTACCAAGTTTGGTCCAGATCCATCATTGTTTGAGTCCATAGTGCTCTCTGGATGTAGGTGAACTACAACTCCAAAACTCAAGGTCAATGCCCAACAAACCCCTCCAGTATTTTCTGTTGGTCATGGGAGTTCTGTGTGCCAAGTTTGGTTCAATTCCATCGTTGGTGGAGTCCAGAATGCTCTTTGATTGTAGGTGAACTGTAAATCCCATCAACTACAACTCCCAAATGACAAAATCAATCCCTGTCCAACCCCACCAGGATTCAAATTTGGGCATATTGGGTATTTGTGCCAAATTTGGTCCAGTTAATAAAAATACATCTTGCATATCAGATATTGCAAATCAGATATTGCAAATGCAACTGTCTGGTCTGCCCCTGGCACAATAAATAAATAAATATCAGATATTTACATTACGATTCATAACAAGAGCAAAATTACAGTTGTGAAGTAGCAACAAAAATAATTTTATGGTGGGGGGTCACCACAACATGAGGAACTGTATTAAGGGGTCATGGCATTAGGAAGGTTGAGAACCATTGTCCTAGATGGTTCATAAGGGGAGATGCATTCGGACAGGTAAGTTGGAATAGATCAATACTTGATTCAATACTTAAAAATTGATTTCTCATTGAGGAAATCCTTGAGTGGGCCACCCTAAGTCACTAAAAGAAATACAGCCTATGAAGGTTGCTAGATAGAAATGGCAAAGCATTTCTGAATGAACTACTGTTTCATGAACATGTGGAATTGATAGCACCTGGGTATGGCATAACGCAATACCTAAGGGACTGTGGTAATGGCTGACTAATAACCATGTGAGGTTTATTGCTAAGGGATTGCATCAGCCAGTGTCTCTCACTGATGACCTATCAGCAGGTGGCTACATAAGGAGGATGAAAAATCCATCTTTCTCTCTCCTGTGTGACTCAGTGTGAGTATCTTCCTTAGTTGTATGTGACTATCGGATGACTGTTTGCAAGTACAAGGAAAGTTGATCTGTGAATCCTGTTTGTAAATATTGCAACGGTGAAAATTAAAGCGTCTGGATATTTTGAATGAAAGCCAGAATCCGTGGGTTTGCAAAACAGTGCGTAGATAAGTTCAGATGCTGGCAGATGGACTCTGCTGATACATAGGCTGAAGTGTGTGTTTTGCTGTGAAAGGACTCTGTTGTATTTTTGCTTGCTTCTGGGACACTTGCTATCCAGCTTGCAGAGGTTCAAGGAAGTCATGATTTGGAAAACTATAAATCACTTCACCTACCAGAGCATCCCACAACAAAGGCATCAATAGGAGCCTAGTGTCTAGATCTAGGGAAGTCATGCTCCCCATGCTCTATTCCGCTTTGGTTAGACCACACCTGGAATAT